GGACTACTAGAGCTCAAGTTATGGCATTTTTTCTAGCACCATTTCTATTCCTTGTCTTTTGTTGTTGACTCCTTTCTTCCTTCCAAAAAGATTTGCATTTTTTGTATTTTGAGGGGGAGGGGATCTAGTAGGGGAAACAGGATTTTTGGAACTTTCCCTCCAGATGGCTATAGTATATTCTGCTATAACATGTAGTTCATTCTATTTAAGGAAGGTCCAAGTTACTTCCTCCTGTCTAATTTTTTTAACCTTTCAGTATAAGCTAGTAGATCTTTTCTCTGGGAGAGAAGATTAAGAACAGTCACAATACTTTCTGAAAAGTAACAACAGCAGCAAACAAACACAAAACCCAGGGATCCAAGTCATAACAATGTGGTTGTCTCCAATCCCCTTCCCGGAGAGATTTTGTTTTGGCAATCATATTATAGTTATAGATATAAATAGAAACAAATGTATGTTTATATTTGAATTAAGTGAGTTTATTTTCAATTTAGGAAAATCACCTCAGAATGTGTATTTATATATGTATATGTACATATATATTATATTTGTAAATATATACATACATACAAATACTTTTGTGTGTATACACACATACATACACCATGATAGATCCAGTCGTCTTAATCTGGGGTCCAAGTCTATGGATAGATTCCAGGGGGCCCACAAACTTGGATGGGGGAAAAAATTACATCTTTATTGTCACCAACCTCTAACTCAAATTTAGCATTTCCTTCAATCATAAATTAACACCTCTCCCCCACCCCCAACAAACCATGATTCTGAGAAGGGGCCCATTGGTTTCACCAGACTGCCATAGTTGTCCATGACAAAAAGAAGGTTAAGAACCCCTGGCCTAGATGACCTATGGGATACCTTTTAGCTTTAGGAATCTAAGATAGGAATCTATGACATGATATATATATGTATGTATGTATGTATGTATATATGTATGTATGTATATATGTATGTATTATATATATATATATATTCTCCCTCTTATAATCAAAAGACTACTGTTTGGGAAACATTTGAAATATAGAGAAAATATTGAATAGTGAGTGGATCCAAGAAATAAGAAAATATGGCATTTTAGGAATAGTTCTATTTTTAACAGGATAGATTCTGCAGTGCTTGTCAGGTGATTTGATTTCCCACAGAGAAAAGGAAAACTTCATTTGGACTAGTTTCATGTCCCCTGTGGAACTGCAGACTCAGTGTATAATACCACTCAGTGTCTGTTTTTGTAATTAAAGAATACAATATAGCTTTTAGTTTAAGTTTTAAAAATTTATTTAATTACAGTAAACCCAAACTAGTGATTTTTAGCCAGGAATAATCTTTAATGTGAGGAAAATATTCATTACACAGATGGAAGTATAGCCTAAAGATAGCTACTAATATGTTTAACACACTATTTTCGTTCTGTCAGTTTTAATACAAATGAAAGACAAAACACATTCAGCCTACTTTTTTGCCACCCCAGGAGGAGAGTGGGCTGTTGTATATCCACAGAGGGATGCCCTGTCTGGGTTCATCTGGGTGTGTTGGTGAGGAAATTATCTGCCCCTTGTGCAGAGGCAGATGACGTGGAAACTATTCCCTAGTGTACACCCAACTGTATAGTTTCCATAGTGGGATTAACTGGAATGGGACCCTCAGTGTATGACCTGTGTACTCTACTTGTACTTTGCTGAGGGTTGAGGGGAAGATTAAACTAAAAATTTCCAAATACATCAAATGGGAAAGTAAAATTTTAACCAATATTCTTGAAGTAGACATTTATATAATTGGATTGGCGTTTGTATAATGTGTATGTGCTTGGTGTGTTTTTCCATGTTCACTGCCATAATATATTGGGCCTAGTCTACATGAGAAGACGAAAGGGAAAATTTAGATAATTATTCAAATAATTCATATCTTAATTCTGCAATTGAGTAAAATTAATTTGTCATTGTTATCTAGTTGACTATCTTTACTGATCTGTTGTGGGGAATTCCTTGGTTCCAGATTTTGGTTTCATTTTGCTTGTATAGTCACAATCCAACCTCAGGATTATCTAGCCTTTTCTTCTTACCTGATGCTTTGTTGCTCCTTTCTTCATGGTTTTCCCATACCTTTGGCAAAATTTCTTCTGTTCAGTGAGAGAAAACAATACTAACCTATTGAGTTCTTCTTGATTATTTGGAAGGGTAGCTATTGAGAATACTAGCTCCTCATGGTGCATTGGGTTTCTTTTGCTTATTCAAAGAACTGAAGCAGATAAAGTATACTTGTATAGACATATAACAGGACTGAACTCTACCACTAGGAATCTTTCAGCTCAACTAAAGATAGAGATTTAATTGAAACAAGCCACACCACGAATGGACAAGGACTGGCTGAGCCAACACTTGAAGATACTAGTTCTGCTTTGTTGTTTGAAATAAATACACAAACTAGAAACTGCAGAGCTAAAATGGCTAAAACTTTCATACTTTACTTTGAAAAACTCATGAAGAAATCAACATAGGTAATGACAGCTAGATCTTTGGGTGGAGGCACTGGTAAAAAGAGAAGTAGCTTAATCATCAACATATGTATGCTAAGAAGCTGTTACAGGCCTTGAGAATTGATGAAAGTAGTAATTCCACAAAGTTGCACTCAGAGAGTGTTTCTGTGGGTGTATCCAGAAGCATGGAGGGGGTAATCCTTTTGCAATTATTTTTCTTGGGTTCCTGGAATTTAAACCATGTCTTTGAGCATGTCATAATAGAAAGATCATTGAGTTTGGAGCTGGAGGAAAAAAAATTTGTTAAGCACTTACTATATGCAAAGTACTGTGCTAATAAGCATTGGGGTTACCAATAGAGAAGCAAGATCGTCCCTGCTCTCAAGGAACTCACATTCTAATGGGGAAGACAACATACAGGAAGTTTCAACTGCAAGTAGGATGGGAAGACACAGTGACCCATAGAGTACAGTGACAAAGCAGATGGTAATGTCTTTCTTTTAGTGTCATTTCTACTGATAAGACTTTATCTATTTCTGAGGTTGAACCATTTGATGTGCCAAAGACTTCTTAGTGAGAATGTTCTCTTCCCAGTCTTCAGTCGCTGTAGCTACTGAGCAGGTGGAGGCTGTAGCATCTGCAGAGGATGTTGCTAGGTCAAATCTCCACAAGGGTTGTTCCCCTTGATAATAGCTTTGGGAAATGGGCTGGAAGCAGGATCAGTGGTTCGGTGTCTGTGGGGGAACTATTCCTAGGGTTTATGGAATTACCTACCCATTGGTGGCAGTTGGTTGATGGTTGGTGTTATTGATGGTGGGGATGTCGGGGGCTCTTTCTCCACTAGGGTTGCTTCTCTAAATGATAGCTTAAGGGGGCTAGGCTAGAAGTAGAGCTGATGGTCTGGGGGGATACTCTTATTCTAGGGCTCTTGGGTATAGGACTCTGGGTTTAAGGGGAAGTGTTCGCTGAGGTCATATTGGTGGTTTTATTCTCTTGGCACTAGAAAACTTCCCTCCTTCTCCCCTCCCTCAGAAAGTTCAGCTACTTCATTTAAGCTGGGTAGCCTGCTCCATTGCTGACAGTCTTTCACTGAGTGCATGTAATGGATGACCAGAATTTAGTACTGAATATAATTTATCTACTAAGTCCTGGGACAGAATTGTGGAAATGGAAGAAATCAGCATCTAATCATTTTTTGTTGCCTGTTTGGTTATACCTACATATATTGTTTATTTTATTATTTCTTTATTTGTGAAGCTACAAATAGGTAGTACAGGTTGCTTTTAGTGCATTTGGTACATTTTCCTCAAAGCATCCAACATAGTTCTACTCGTACAATATGTCTACGTATTAATAATAGTGAAAGAAACAATACCCCTGATCCCAAGGCTCTGTTTTCCTAGGGGTCAGCAAAAAAATGTATGCAGTGATGCTTTGGGCATCCTCATATAAAGGCAGGTAGGTGGCCTAGTGGATAGAGTTCTAGATGGAGTCAGGAAAACCTAAGTTAATAACCTGTCATGTACTGCTTATATGACCCTAATAAGTTACTTCACCTCTTTGTGCCTCAGTTTCTTCATCTGTAAAATGAGGGAGAAGAACTTAGTGATTCTAAAGACCCTTCTAGCACCAAATCTATGATCCTATAATATCCTACTTAGGCCTGTTATTGTTGCAGTTCATGCAGAATTGTTGGCTGCATGAACTTCAGGAGAGGGGTGGACCATTTGGTTATTCTGCAGTAAATGTGTGGCCCTATGGAACACTGCAGATATATGCACTTTAGAGAGTCTGTAGCTACACTCTCTTCCTCTCTTGGCCACTCCTCCCATATGTATTGGGAAGGTATACTTTTGTCAGTTGCATTTTTCATGCTGGTCAGCCTTAAGGAAGAAGGAGGTGAAATTTTTTCCCCTCCCTTAGGAGAATGAATGGAATTACCTGAGTAGGAGGATTGAAAATGTTAGTGTTGCTTCTCCGCATGAAGAGTGCTACCCATCAGGCTTCTTGATATAAAACAAGCACATCACAGAAAACATTTAAAAAATAAAGCATTTACTGAACTTTTGATATTAGCTAGGTAATTTTCGCTTTCTAAGCCTGTATAGCCACCCTTTTAATTGTCTGTAGTTAAAAGGAGAAAACTTTGTTAATGACTCTCCATTGTCTCTCATTATCCTCTGTACTTCATGACTCACTAAAGTGATTGGCATATGGGTTAAATTGATTTGGAAGTTGAAAAATTACTGTTCTTGGAAGACTGTCCACAGTTTAAACAGAAAACAAAAGAAAATTCTAAGGCTTTTAAACTTTTTTTTTGTAAGTAAGCCATTAAAATGGGAAATAAGAATGGGACTGAATTTTTATGGTTGAGAAATTTGCAAAAAATAATTTTTTCTTAAAAAAGCATCTGTTTATCAAGATCATACCATGCTGTAGGATTGTTTTAAATGTCTCTGGAAGTTGATTATTTTTAATAAGCTATTTTATTTCTGTTTTGTCTTCACAGGAAAAATTAACCCAAGAGTGTGTATTCAGAGAGCAGTTTGAAGAAAATTGGTATAATACATACTCATCGAATCTATACAAACACGTGGACACTGGAAGACGATATTACGTTGCATTAAATAAAGATGGGACTCCAAGAGAAGGGACTAGGACTAAACGGCATCAAAAATTTACACATTTTTTACCTAGACCAGTGGACCCTGAGAAAGTACCTGAACTATATAAGGATATTTTAAGCCAAAGTTGACAAAGACAATTCCTTCACTTGAGCCCTTAAAAAGTAACCACTATAAAGGTTTCACGCGGTGGGTTCTTATTGATTAGCTGTGTCATCATATCAGCTCCACTGTTGCCAAACTTTGTCGCATGCATAATGTATGATGGAGGCTTGGATGGAACATGCTGATTTTGTTCTGCACTTAAAGGTTTGTCCTCCTGGAGGAGAGCCTATGCCCACTCGCTTGATTTATTATGAAAGAGAGAGTGTGAGAGTGAGTGAGAGAGAAAGAGAGAGAGAGAGAGAGAGAATGAGTGTATGAGTGAATGGGTGTGAGAGGGGGAGATGGAAGCTAGAAGTGAAAGCAAAGAGGAAAAAGGCCTGATGCATGCTGGGAAATAGACACGCTTTTAAATTTTTGATCAGTTGTATTTCATCATATATCAGCATAGCTGCCATACTTCGACTCATCAGGATTTCTGGCTGGTGGCCTGCTCAAGGGTACGCTGCATTGACAAAGGCATGGAGGGTGCAGTCTTACTTAAAAAAAAAAAGACTTTTCAGTTTAATTGCTTGCTGGTATCATCCCAGTGAGCTTAAAGCAAAGACCTCTTAGTAAAAAAAAAAAAAAAAAAGTTAAATTTATTTATAGAAATTCCAAAGGCAACATTTTATTTATTTTATATATTTATTTATTATATAGAGTTTATTTTTAATGAAATATGTACAGGCCAGATAGGCATTTTGGAAGCTTTAGGCTATGTAAGCATTAAATGGCCAAGTCCGCTACGAACCTGTGGTAAATTCATGCAGTAACTATAAAGGTGCATGGATACAACAAATTCTAGTGACCCTAATGTACTGAAAGGTGACAATCTCTTTGTGCCCGTATTATTGTACAAGTATGCACACCACTCATGACCCTGAGTATTCACTCTTCAGACTGCTTGTTTCATAGCTTACCCCCAGAGGATTAAAGATCAAACTGGGTCTCAAACTCTTATTCTGTGTCTGTAATATTTCCTCTCTGATTAAGTGGCTTATTCCATCATTGTAACTTCACAGTTGTGGAAAAATATAAGGGTTGGTATATATTCTACTTGTTTAAACCTATTGCAAATTATACCAAAGCTAAACAATAAATATGCTTTTTATTTTTTAGCAGATTTCCAGAACAGCAGGACTGACATCACCATTGTACTAATTTAAGGTTCTCAAAAAAAAAAAGGAAAAAAAGAAAGAAAAAAGCTTACATAGCACAGAATTATTTTCAAGAGGCAAGAATCAGGTTAATAGGATCACTCTTGTAAACACTTTTTATTTGTTCACTTGGCTATCTTACTATGAAACGATAAAAGTTCCTTAGGGGTCATTGTAACATCTCTGGAAAACTGCTTTCAGTGTGAACTGTCATCATACATGATACTAGCACCCTTCTTAAAGTAAAACTTGCAAAATGAAACTAATAAATCTTTATCCATAATGACAACGAGGGGGAAAGCATTATACTTGTTGGCTGTGGTTTGTTTTTCAAAATGGTCTTCACAAGCGCTCAAGTTTTTTTTTTTTTTTTTAAGGGGGAGGTTACAATATATAATATCTTTTACAAGACTTTTTATAATGTTTTATGCTGTCAAGCATAGGAATACATATTTCTTTAGTAGCAATAGTTTTGGAACTTGCCCTTGTGCAAGGGAGAATATTTCTTACTATATACTAAGGAAAATAGAGCCAAATTCTTAAAGCAATATTTAAGAAAAAAGGAATTTATAACAAATTCCCATACCACAGCTAGCTCTTTCTAGCCAGTTATGATGGGAAATTGAGAGTGACAGTTAAAAAATGTTTGGAGATTCATATTCCTGAACTACTTTTAATTTAATATTCCTACTTTGTTTTGCTCTGATGCACGTTATGTAGGACAAAGGTATGGCACTGGCAAATTTAAAGCAGGTATGAAATATCAGTACATGTCTCAGTGTCCTGAGCTTGTATTCTGAGGTCCTTAAGTTGGAGTAGGTAGCAATGCCCTCCTCATGAATTGCATTATGAAAAATTAAATCTAGTAATATGTTATTAAATAGGAATTTTTTTTTGGGAGGGAGTGGGCAGAAGTGATAATAATGAGTTGATTTAAGGTGGAGGTTAGAATTGCCTATTCCCTTGTCTTAGGATTAGTTCTATGTCTAAATAGTAACTTGCATTTAAGTCCAACAAGTAAGATTCTTATTTATTTTTAAACCCTTCACTGCTATTGAATTATGCACATATTCAGGCTTTAGTTTTCCATGAAATATTTGATTCTTTTGATGGAAAAGTATTAAGTATCTGCTCATGAAAGAACCAAATTTCTGAGATGTAGAAGATATGACATTCACCACTGAAGAAGTTCATTTTCGTCAATTGCTAAAAGCCTCATTAAAGTAGCATCAGAAGTCAGGTAGCCAACCTCAAAGAAAACAAAAACTAACCACAAAGAGATTCATGGAAAAGGCTAAGATGTGCATGAGTTAGTTAATGCAAGAATGCTACTTTGATGTGTACTTCAGGAGTTCATTTTGTTCTGGTCTCTTTTTAAAGAGGAAGAAAAGTAAAATGTTATGTGCTTTTGGCAAGTGATACAATAAATTGTAACGGATTATTCAAATCTTCATAATGGTGTGTAAATAAATAAGCGCTGACTTATGCGATTTATGTAAATAGGCGTTATTGGGAGGGGAGGTTTTGCTGGCTCAGGGTTTTGGCATGGGCATTGTATTGCTGGGCTATGGAGTGTTTCATCTCTAGCTTGTTGATTCGTACCCATCTCATGTCACTAGTGACCAAAGGTCTAATTGATGGCAACTCTTAGCCTTTGTGGAATGAGCTGTTCCCTTTTTCATAGACAGATGTTCATGCCACCAAACCATTATTGTGTTGGTGCCAACTTGCACCTTAGTCAAAGACTGAATGGGAATGGATTGACCCACCTATCCTTTCATCTCTCATGTGAACCTTCCCAAGTGGTGTGGAAGGACATGAGCAGGTCAGAGTTATGTGGGTGCTCACCCTGCCTGGGCTTGTTTTGTAGAGAAATGGACGGCTTTGTCACTCTATGACACCCCTTCTCATGAACACTAAACATTGACTTCATGTTATCTACCTGATAATCTGTAATTGTATGTAAATACATACACAATTATGTCATTTGTGTAAATACATAATTACAGACTTTTAAAAAATGATATTTTTTACTTGATGTCCATTTTAGAGCTGCTTCAGATGACTGTGCCTACATGAACCACTGGAATTTGGAAAAAAAAATGTTCTCCTTGCTCTTACAGCTGTTGTGTGTGTGTGTTGAGGGTATGGAGGAGGGGGTGGGAAGCAAACACATTAAGATATTTTTTCTTTCCTGCAAGTCTGAGGAGACAGCTTTCCAAGATGGTACTTGGACCACTCGGAACCAAAAGAATTCTATGTGCATGTGCTTTTGAGGGTGAGTGTGTGTGGGTATGAGTGTGTGTGTATGGATATGGAGGGGTGAATGGAAAAAGGAGAAATTATAATCAGTTTGCTGCATCTTTTGACCTGGGTTATATGCTAGATTTAGATGAATTATGACTGGTAATTTGCAAAATAGTCTAATAAGCAAATCTCAGTGAGGGAGATATTGCTGGTTACAAGAAAAGAAAAAAAATACCAAATAACTCATGAATGCATGCATTTTAATTTTTTTTACATATATGTGTATATACACACACACACGCACACATATTTGTACTATGTTCATATTTATCCGAAGAAATTTTCTCCTTTTTAAGTGCATATTTTGCTGTTAAACTGGAATTGATGAGGAATTATGGGGACAAATGTCTCCTGGCTGTTGCTCTGAAGAGATATCAAACAAGGTACCCAGCAGCTGTAGTAGGAGCATCATTTCCCTGCCCCTCTCCCCCCAGCCTCTGAAGGCTTGGTAAGAGCAGTTGAAAAAATGTAAACATTGGTTAAGCAGGTTTCCTTTTCTTTCAGCAAGTTAAGGCATTTCTGCCTCTTCCAGTGTTCTTACTAAGTTTTAAATATAATGTCTGGGGCAGGGTGGTGGTGATTATATATCAAGAAAATAAAAATCTGTATTTTCTCAATTTTTTTGGCTATCCTGGTATGTTAATATGTGTTTTGCTCCTGTCTCTAAAGAGGCACAAAGAGAGCACGCAGTTACCAGGTAGCGAGTGCCTGATCTCTGGCCAGGGCTGGATATCAGGTTGAAAGCCACAGGGGAAGAATAAAATGCTGGGAGCGAAAGTTTCATTGCTGTTTCAGCAGACAGTGGAAGCTCTCCAGCTTGAGATACATACTTAGACATTCTCTCCTTCCCCAGAGAAGCTTTGTTCACCACGATTCCATGATTTGTCCAAGTGGATTAAAACTAATAAAAAATGTTTGTAAGGGGGAGTTTAGGTTCAAATTTTCCATTGTTTGAATACTGGAATTAGCCAATCAGAGAAAGAGCTTTCCATTTTGCTTTTAATTTCATCACTTGAAAGTAGCCTCTCATTTATTTATTGGCATCTTTTTAATCTCATCCCAATTTTTTTTTTGGTTTTGAAAGCTGTTGCTCTTTGGAGTGAGAATATTGAGATCCTTCTTTCCTTTCTTTTGTAGGAATGTACAATTCCTTAACAATTCTTGGCAGTTGTATTTGTCTGGGCTCTGTCTCTCACTGCTCCCAACCAGAAGTTCCCTTAATACTACACAGTCCGACCTCTGGCACTGGTAGTTCTTGCCATCATTTCCATTGCCATGAGTGAACTTGGTGCCAGGAAAATCTGATGCCTGGTACCAAGGAGTTAAAAGTTGTGCAATGAGAATATCCAAAGTGCGGACCACGGGTTCTGCCCTTGCTGCTTGGGAAGAACGTGGAAAACATTGTTGATAGAATGTAAGGCCAGGCTCAAGAATCGGGAAATGGATTTTTCTAAAATACTCATAGATGCTTTTTCCTGTTTCCTGACCATATTGTGGGATATTGCAAAACAGTCTAAGTTCAACCTGGTTGCTATCTAGTGCTTCTGCTGTGTACATGTGCCCTGGGTTTGTAAATTATAGCTTTGTGAGCACTTTCCCCAGCTATCTCTTAACCAGCCGGAGGGCCTTTTCAGTTATTGAACCTATGTAGATACTCAAGTTTATAGCTGTACCAGTTGGGAAGAGGTAATACTCAGAGCTCCTTATTATCCTTTGGTGGAAAAACCAGTAATCTCTATGTCTCCAAACATATTAAAAGAGTGTTTTATTCTCAATATGCAAATGCCTCTGGGAACTCATCAATACAGCTAGGTGGTATAGTGGGTAGAGTGCCAATTCTGGAGTCAGGAAGACCTGAGTTCAAATCCAACCTCAGTCACTGGTATGTGACCCTGGGCAAGTCACTTAATCCTGTTTGCCTCAGTTTCCTCAATTGTAAAATGGGGATAATAATAGTGCTTACCTCCTAAGGTTGTTATAAGGCTCAAATGAGAAAACATTTGTAAAATGCTTAATAGCTCTTGGCACATAATAGGCACTTAAAAATGCTTGTATCC